CCTGATGATTCCCCTCCTTCAAAGCCCTCTCGTCAACCCCCACGCGACGCTGATCACACTGTTCATGAACGCTGTGGATGAGCATGCCACCGAAATGGAAAGGCTTACAGATATGAAGGCGGATGGCACGGTGATGAAGCGCATTTACAAGTACCTATCGCCTAGCGGAAGACCGCTCAATTATTACGACACCACAATCTTCAAAATCATGGCTGCTGGGGATTGTGTCCCAACTTATGACCACGTCTTTGACCGGTAAGTAGCGTGGTGGAGCTGTTTGCTGTGCGTTTTTGCGGCGTATGCTAACTACACTCCAAGGCACGCTGCGAAGCTTATGTTCTCTCGGAGTGCTCGGTTGGTTGGAGCCGCGATGAAGGGAAGCCACACTGTGATCGAGAAGTGGCCGTTCAGATTGAAGCTGCGGCCCGGGCAGACGGGTGCTCAGGAGGAATTTGATCGCCTTCTCGGAGGAGGAGTTTCGAGCAAGGAGCGTTACGTGGAGTGGAAGAGAGTTTGAGTGTCAGGATGAGGCATGGAAGATACGGAGTGCAAATCAGGGAGAAGGAAGTGGACTTCATCGTGTAGCCATGACTCCTTCCACTCATAGGAACATAAGAGTATACACGACCTCTTTATCCGTTTCCTACGGCTCTGGGTCTGTTATCTTGATATCCAGCTTCTGGGTTATTAGGATGGTCACGATATTGTTGAGAGCAAAAGCTGCGAAATACTGGGACTTGTTGTCGCTACCTTGGTCTATAAACAACAGCTCGAGCGGAATATTAAGGTTGCCTCGACGCGCAATTAGTTCTTGCCTCGCCTCGAGCTTTGCTCTTCGTGACTAGCGAAGGCGTAGGGAGCCGGATCATGATACCTGTTCTTGGCCGCCATCCCGAGGAGGCTCGTCGACCAAGATGGTCTTCTGGGCTTCCTGTTCTGCCCCTTCTGGAGCAGTAGTGAATTCTCGAAATTCCACATGCATGCACATCAGAGCAAGTCCTGGGCACAGTAGCCAGCTGTAGAGGAAGGCAGCTGTTTCCTCATTCCTCATCCAGCCAGGCCGCTCCTTCTCTTTCAAGACCACAGGCTGCTTCCAAGGCCCCTCCTTCCAGCTGGCAATTTAGCATCTAGCGCCTTCTCTTCTCTTCCTCCTACACCACCACCAACAAGAAAAAAAACCACCTGCTCTTCCTTCCTTCCATCCCTCAACCCATTTTCATTACCCAGCCGAGCCAGCTGCTCTCTCCTTCTCACGTACCAACCGACCGCTCCCAGTCGCTACCAACTGCTGGGGGAGCATCCAAAGACACAGCTTCCTTCCTCAACAACCACCAACCGCCTCTCAGGCACGATGTATGCTGCTACCACAAATCCCAAGCTGTCGGCTGACCCGAAGCCGGCCGAGGAGATGATGCTTTGCGCTATCCGCCCTATGTTGGTCAAGCCTGGTATCCTCCCACACAACGATCCTGGTCACAATACCCTCAGAACCTTCATCGATCTCCTCGACACCACCGCTACTGAGAAGGAGCAACGTCTGAAGGTCTCTCCTTTTAGAGCCGTGGGCAACACTTTCGACTTCAGGGACCCCGCCAAGTGCCACCTGCCGAACGTTTGGCAGTTCGCTGACCAGGCCGACCTCGCCCGCCTATACGACGCCGTTTTCCGCAGCGACAAACAGCCTGACTTCGTCAAGGCCGCCAACCTTCAGATCTACATCTGGTTTCCCCAGCGTGGGCCCCAGCCTTCCAAGAAGCCCAACTTCCACCATCTGATTGACATCCGGAACCTTACCCTCTGCGGCTGGTGTGGATGTCTCCCCCGGGACGACCCGAAGGTAAATTTAGATGATCAACCTCTCCGTACACATTGTCACTGATACTTAGTATCTATACCACAGACGAGCCGTACGTTGGTTCTGACGACGGACCGCGTGTTCGAGGACTGTCCGCACTGGTCAAAGTACCCTGCTACACCCGTTAATCACCTTTCTGGTAGCCACGCGGCGGCGTCCCATGGCCCCCCTCCCGTCCCGATTGGCGTCATCAACGGTCACTTCCCCCACGGGGTGCTATACCCACCTCCACCAGAGGACGAGAACCCGAACGTCGTCCCTTACCATATCTACGGCGGCATCCACTTGAACTATAGCCGCGGACTAGCACTACCGCCCCCAGGCATCCTCTCGAATGACCAGCCTGCGTGGCCTGAGTCCCACATCGTCCCCAGGGAAATTTACCTGAGCTCGTCGACATCGCAGCAGTAGGCACGGCTGGTAGCCACGCCACGGACACATCAAGTCTCGGCCGTCGGGTGCAGGCTAGAAGAATGCAGGGAATGCAAGGTGAGCTGACGCACTTATGTTCGTGAGATTGCCGACGATAGAAGGGGGAAGGAAAGGAAGAACACACCATATGTGTATATTACGTCAAGGGCGAGGAAGTCCGCGGGGTCGTGAACATGACGGCAAGTCGCAGCTGGGGGTATAGCGTCTTGTTGAGGGCTAGGAAACCCATCACATCGCAAGGATGGTATTTTATGTAGGAGGGAACCACGAATATATGCATTGTAGTAAACAAATCATGTTCACTTATGGCCTCGGTAGAGTGAATGGCTGACTATTTCCAAGAAAGGCAAACAATTGTGATGAAGATTGTGCGGCCGGCCTGCGCTGAACCTTGTGGAGGAAGAGGGGCGAGGTACGATAATCAGGGATTCCAATTGGTCCCTGAGACTGGAGGTTGGGCTCCGTACGTCCGTCTACCACTACATAGTTGATAAGGAGTTTTGTCGCAAGATTACGTCATACCTGCTTTGCAGGTTCTGCCGCTGATCACCGCCTTAGGCGTGAAGCAGGTTAAGCTCCGGCCATTCCCACGACAGGCACGCACAACTTGCTGTTCCTTTCCTGTTGGATCCGCCATGGTACAAACAGTGCAGAAGCGAAAAGGCTATAAATACGACCGCAAACGAGGTGCTTTTGAGAGGGAAAAGGGCGAGGTAGTAGAAACTGAGAATGAGGGACTCAAGCGTGTCTTAAGAAAACCAGAAGACGTGTAAGAAGGAAAAAGAACAGGAAGGGTCGGGGAGAGTAAAGATGGAGGCACGCAGAGGCCCGGCGGCCTAACACGTAGGCCCCCTCACGCCCAGTCAATCCCTCTCAGGAAATCGAGTATAACGAAAAGGTGCCGGAGAGGGAGGGGCGTGTGAGGTGACAGAGAGGCGACGTCGAGAAGTCCAGGGAGGAATATGGCGGGGGGGGGTGAGAGAAGGTCGATTTCGTCGGGGCGGGTGGGCGGATAGAAGTAGTTACGGACGGACGACGGTGCGGCGGCGTAGGGGTGGAGCAGCCGGGCACCGTTTCGCGTGCTGAGTCAGCTGGGATTCCGCTCTTCTGATGACTCAACCCTCACTGGAATGCGCCCACCATGGTCAAGTTGCTATCAATCCACGTTTATTATCCATTCAAGGCGAAATGAGGCACAGAAGCTGTCAAACTCTTCATTCTGCTTCTTCTTAGCTACCGCAGACTTCCACATCGCCTCGGTAGCGATCACTTGCGACCGTTTGATGGCTTTGTTGTTCACGAACGTCTTGTTAGGATTAGAGGCCATATTCTTCTTCATGAAAGGCAGGGCTGTCGCTAGCTGCAATTTTAGCTTTGCGTTTTCTTGCTATTGAACTGATATAATGAGGTTTCCCTTGTTGATAGCCTCCCACATCTTCCTGTATCCATAGATTGCCTCCCTGGTGATCGTCTTAGGGGTTCCCTTGAGTCTGGTGATAATTTTCTTCGTATCAGACGACTTTTGCGGGGTTGACAGTTACTGGCCAGTCTATATTAGAGATTCATGAGCATCTCTGATATGTTCTGGCGCCTTATTGACTAAGAACTGTGAACTTGAGAGCGTTTTCTGCCGGTTGAGTAGCTACAGTCTGGTGGCCCTGAAACTGGAGCGTATATTAGGGTTAGCAAAGGCCTTCTGACGCGCAAATGCGTAGCAATAGAGGAAGTCTTTCTTGTCTATATCAGAGTCGTCTATCAGGTTGCTGCGATATGAGACGTTATGATAATGCTTGTTGAGGGAACCGAAGACTGCCACATCTAGCGGCTGCGTGATGTGGCTGGTATGGGCAGGGAGAAAAATCATATAAATATCCCGCTAAGAACATTCCCAGAAAACGCTCATACCCGCCTCGCTTCCCGTTGACTTCGTCGCTGGGTCAAACACTCTCTTGAGCCGCTTGAGCGCAACAGTATTCGTCGTCCACCCGTTTCGGTAGCCATAAACTGCCAATCTTTGTATTCTTCAAGAGCTGTGGGAAATCATTGCTGTTGGGTGTGTTTTTCTTTGAATATGACGAGCGGAGGGATAGCCCTGCCTGTGGCGGAGATACACTCGGCAATGGTCGTCCAGGCGCGTGATGCAGGCTTCTTGACGTAGATCTTTCGCCTCCTCGAATATCCAAGGACCAACTGGCAGTCCGCGTTGCCTTCTGCGATGCCAGTTTCATCTGCCTCGGCATCCAAGGTCCCCGGTGAGGGGATGGAGAAGCAAGTGTGAAGCCGAAGAAATCGGGTTCCATAACCGTCTGTGGTACTTTCAACTAATAGCTGTGGCTGTCTGTATTAGAGTCATAACTAGGCCTGTTCGCTCAGCCCATGTCCAATGAGCAGGGTCACGATTGCAAGTCACAAAGCTATCATCCATTCAAAATTAAGTAGAATTCCAATTGTATCCACAAAGCAAGCTCAAGACCGTGAAGCTAAAAGACCGTGAAGCTAAACTGCAAACCCCCGTATTGCTGTCGGGCAAAGTCATATGCCAAGTACCATCCACAAGAGCCCCCTACATCCTCGCTAAGTGTATCATGATTCATAGCTGCGGCGTGTCGCGTCGTCGAATTGTGCGAGCTATAGTTACGCTCGACGTTTAGGGACTCAATATATCATCCCTCACCAGAAACCCCGCTCCCAGGAGAATGACGGAGACAAGTGCTCAAGATACGGTGCCGTGAATCTTGAAGGCATGATTCTGGAGGTGCATCTTGTGGTCAAGCGTCATGTCGCAAACCTTACACTCTATGTTGTCGCTGTTTGCGACTTTGGATAAGTGCTTACGTCGGAAGTGCTTGGTTAGGTCGTTAGAGGTATAGAATTCACGGGTGAGGTCGTCCAAACGATCCTCATCGTCTGGTGGCAGACCCATGGCCTGGCCAATACATATAAAGCATCTTCTTGGCCGCTGGTTTTCACTGGTGACAAAAACAGATAGCGTGGCAAGATACAATGGGCTGCCCTTCGACGGGTCACAAGGCGGGTCAGAAAGTGCAGCCTTCAGTATCAACGGAGGGTGACACCGGCGTATGGTGCATCCTTCCTGGACAGAACAGTATGCAGACACTGCGTCGATAGCGTCATCTCGCCGTCGGTATTGACCTTCGAGTGTAGTCACGATCGGGGTGGTGAGCTTTGCGAGCAATCGCTTTTGTGCCGGGCCCTGAGGTCGACAGCCACCTCCTGTCGCAGGCTCGGCAAACCCTACGCCCTGGATTTGGCGCTCGATATCGTCAGTGGCCTGCTTGTTAGTCCACTCGTCTCTGATCTTCTGTTTCAGCTCTCTCCTCAGTCTTTGCTTCTCATTTCGTATCGCTCGTTTAGCTTCTTTGTACTGTTTGGAGCCTGGTGGCAGTTCTCGGAGGGCCTTCGTCAGCTCCCTGATAGTCGGATGCGTAGTGACAGATGCAGACTGATCCGGCGTGAGATCGATGGGACGGCGCTTAGAGATAGAGTGACCAATGCTGCAAGACTGCTTCATGAGCGCTTGCTGCGGCCTTTGTCCGCGAAGGATGCCCCAGAGGTCGGCGGAGATGTTCCGCCCGAGGTAATGCCTCTGGAACGGGTCTGAGCTGCCATGCCCCATGGCGAGGTTCCGGAGAGCTTCGCTGACGTCGACTGTGATGGGCATTAGCGTCGCTGGTTACAGCAGTAGGAATGAGACGAGACGCACCACTTTGGTCAAACGCGTTGGCTGCGTTGTAACGCAAGTTGTAGGCTATCGTAGGGTACTCAAAGCCCAGGATTTCGCCGATTCTCTTAATCCACGCCGCCATCATGCCGGAAGATATACGTTCGTTAGGGGAAATTTGGTAGCCCGTTAATGTCTCAACGGCTCGACGGAAAATGAAGGTGTTGTTCAGGTCCTCCTTTAACGGTAGTGGTAGCTCCCGTTCCCCGGGATGTATATCGAGGATATCAAGATGGTGTGGCGAGGTGAGGTTGGATGCGTTGAAAGCTCGGTGTCGGAAGAGGACGCCTAGAAGGAAGACGTGGGGGCTTAGGAGTAAGGACGGGTCGAACATAGTCTCGGGAACTGTGTATGTTTTCCTGAGATGTCAGCATATCTCGTAGATTGCAGCAGACCAGGACCATACTCACTGTTCCTTCTCGCCAAGGTAGGTTTTAGTGAACTCTGGTGTGAACCGAAGAAGAAGCTTATGTGGTCCGCCTTCTGGATCTCTCGCTAGCGCGACCCTAATATCCTTGAACCGCAGGTTTAAAGTCGCTTCTGGTCGAGAACCGGCCGGGGCAAGCAGGAGGAGAAAGAGCACAGCGAGGATGCGTAACTCTCCTAGTTTAAACGATTTCTTTGTCGTGCTTAGCGTCGTCTCGATCTGCTGCTTGAGATCGTCGATCGTCATGCAGCGATTAGCTCGCCGCTGCTCGCTCAAATCGTGCTTCTTTGCAAGATCTCGCAGAACCTGACCCGGTCAGTGGGAGTGCTGGAGCCGTGGTGGGACAGACCTTCCCTATGCATACTGCGGTTCAGCTTCTGGTCAATCTTGTCGCCCACGGCTCTCTCGAAGACGAGTCGAAAGACCTTCCAGTATGTGCCCAAGGAGCTCTTCTTCTTGATTCCGCGTTTCTTTCTACCGTCCTTACCGACCTTCTGACTTAGGAACCAGTCAAAGAAGTTATACAGGAGGCCAAGGGAGATCGTCGCGTAGCAGTCTTCTATGTCGCGCTTGAGAACACTACAGAATCTGTAAACATAAAGTGTAAGTAGCTTATGAAGTATAAGAAGTTGCCGGAACTTACTGGCGCCACTGTTCCTCTACGGCATCAAGAAGCACCGTCGTCCCAGGGCTATAATCTTGACAGGCGTAAGGATCCTCGTTAAACCCCTCCACATTGCGCCGCCAGTACTCGGGTGGATGCACATTCCCGTCGAAGAGCCGAACCTGGTCCTCTATATCAAAATCGTCGTCTTCGTAGAGATCTTCATTATCGGTTGCATCGGTATCCGAACCATCTTGCTGTTCCTTCGCATCGAAAACATCGTCGTAGTCGTCGTATTCATCGTCAGCCGAGAAAGATGCATCGGAATCGTAAGCGACCGCTAGGGTGCGTCGGCAATTTGACATTGTGGAACGAGGAACGGCATAAGTTCAACAGAAGGCTTGCTGGCGGAGGGACTAGCCAAACGAGTAGTAATAGTCAGGCTTTGAGAGCGGATGGATTGAGGTGACCGCTAGCTGAGGCCCTGACTGCAGCGACCGCGGTTTATGTAGTACGAGAAGGTAAGCTATTGCAGGACTCATTATGGTGGCTATTTTTAGCTGTTGGAAAGCGACGCGCCAAGCAAGAATTGGAATGTCAGTTGGGTGAACAGTGACTGGCAGGGCCATTTGGGCAGTTCTGGGAGGTGTGGCTGAGGAACTCTGGTCAGTACTTTGGTCGGTACCCTGAGGTACAAGCCTGGGACGGGACAGGGGTTGGCGCGCGTGGTGGCCTTGCCGCCTGGGTTAAAGCGGCGAGGGTTTTCTGGCAGATGTCCCGCTGAACTTGGCGGCAGAACCTGCCTGAAACGGCGCTAAATACGCCGTCTCTTTCTTTAAGAAAGTTATTTTATAATTACTTATAATATAAAGAATAGCTTACGTTAGATTAATAACTTTATTAAAACTACAAGCCTTTTAAATTTATTTTAAGTTTTATTTAAACCTAAATATATTATCGATATATAAATAAAACTTATAAAGAGAACAATATTAGTAAAATATATATGTCTCTAACTTAATATCAAATCTAACAATAATAACATAATAAAAGAGATATATATTAGTATTTTTATTAATAAGAACTAAATAATATATTTCACTTAAAACCTAAAGTTCTAAATAATTTAGCTATCAAAAGTAAATACAGTTATTTGACGTTTTAAATTATAAAATAAATAATATTTAACTCCTATATCTTTAGAATAATTAATTTAATAAATATTAACATTTATATTTTTATTACTATTAAAGTTAATAATATTCTAAAAACTAATTTACTCTTAAGAACCTTATTTTATAAAAACTATAAGATTACTATTAATTTTCATAAACCTACTATTAGATTTTAAGCTATATATAATATAATAAACTCTATTTAATTTTATTAACTATGTATAATAAACTATAAAATAGATAATATATATATCATTATTATACCCTTTTTAATTAACATTTTTATTATTACTTCTTATTTAAATGTATTAAATAAATTAAGCTAGTAAGATAAAGTATAGCATTATTGAATAGAACATAATAATATTATAGATATAATCATAATAAGTAATAACTAGAAGTTTATTTTAGTGTGAAATAATATAGCTATTTTATTCATAACCTTAAAAAGCAAATAATTAAAACATATTATTAAAATAAAGTTAGAGAAACTACTAATCTAATTAAATATATAGATATTATTATTTTAATAAATAGCTAGCTATTAGTTTATGTTAAATTCTTAGTTAAAAAGTTCTTTTAAGTTATAATAAACTTCTCTAAAATTATAAAGTTTCTTAATTAGTTAGCATTTTAAAAACTAAAGCTATTAATAACTATAGATAATATATTATTATATAGAATCTCTAAAGTTATTAATATCTTAATAATCCTTAATAAATATAATATTAAAACTTTTAATAAAGATGTAATATTTATATAGTATCTTAAAAGAGTTTTAAATAAATAGAATATTTACTATAATAAAAAATTATTTCTATGTTAGATAAATAATAGATAAAGATTAAATTTATTAATAGATAGTAAAATTAGAAAGCTATAGTAAAGGTCTACTTATTAAATATAAAAGATTTTGATTTTACTAAAAGTATCTATAATAAACTCTATATAGAGAGTAAGATATCTTGAAGAGATAGCTTAATCTTAATTATATACCTAATATTTATTATTTAGAGAACTATTAATTATATAAACAAAAGCTATATTATTATAAATCTCTAACTATTTAATTATGTTATAATTTCTAATATATATTTAATATTTAATTAGAATAATATCATAGTTACTCTTAAAAATAAAGAACATATAACTATAATCAATATTATTAGCCTTTTCTATTAATTATTTATTCTTTTATAATATTATAATAGAATAATAATAATTAGCCTCTATAATATTAAAATCTCTAATATAATATTTATAAGTCTTAAGAATTTCTTAATATATATTTAGAAATTTATAAATAAACTATTATATAACTATTAGTATTTTATCTATATATATATTAATAATATTATAATATTTAGTTATAATAATAAAGGCTATTTTAAATCTATTAAAATTATATTTAAAATTCTTAAAAATAATAAACTTTATATCTTAATAAAGAAACCTTTTACTAGATTTCTAGAAATTAAACTTCTTAGCTATATTATAAATAGTAATAGAATTGAGTATACTAATAACTAAATTATAGCATTTTATAGCCTTAAATCCTTTGAAAATCTCTATAAATTTAAGCAATTATCTCAAAATAGCTAAATAGCTCTAATGTAATATTCTATAATTTAATATTATTATTAGCATTTTATAAAAAGTAAAACCTATTTTAATATAAAACCTTTTAAATAGAACCTCTTATTTATAAAGCTTAATAAATTAGTTGATATATAAAAGGTTTAAAAAGCAATTTTTAAACCTATAGATACTAAACATAAATCTTAAAACGTCCTCTAAAAGAATCTCTACTCTTAAGATATATAATATTATTATAACTTTAATAAATCTCTTTTCTTTAACATTAATATTTATAAAAAAGCTTTAGATTCATAGTATTTTAATTAAAAATATTATAAAACACAACTAACATTTTAGAATAAAACATTGTACAAAAACATATCTCATTAATATTTCTTCTATTTAAAATAATATCTCTATTTAAGAAATATTATTTTATAATAGAAATAGAAATTATTAGAATTATCTAAATAGTAAGAAACCTCTAAAGACTTATATAATTTGGCTACTATTTAGTTTAAATCTTAATAGCTTATGTAGCTATAAAGAGAATCTTTACATATATATCGCTATAAATTATAGATCTAAATAAAACTAATTTAAAATTAATTAATATTATTAGCTATCTCTTTTAGTTTAAGCAAAATATTATTTATATCTTAGAGAAACTTAATATAATATTTAATATTTTATTTTACTTATTAATCCTATAAATATTTAGTAATTTTAATAAATTTAAAGATAAAAATATCCTTTTAAGGATTATTTATAGTAATACAAATAACCTTAACAAAACCATAAATATTACTTTTTTCTTAGATAAAACTCAAGTTTCAAAAGCTTAAAGAGATATTACTTTAAAAATCTCTAAAGAACTTATTACTAAAATTATTAATAACTATAAAAATGATAAAGAATATAATAAAGTCTTTTAATAACTTAACTAAATTAGGTTAGCTATAAACTAATAGTAACTACTAAAAGAAATAGATTTTATAAAAAAAGAAAAAGTAAAACAAAAATAATAATAATTAAAATACTACTAAATAACATTATAAAATCGCTTAGCTAAAAGACTTCTTTTTTATTATTTTATAAATAGTATAAAAAAGCTCTATATTTTATACTACTTGATATAAATAATTTTTCACTTTACATATAATAATAAATATTTTTCCAGTTTTAATAAGATAATAATTAATCTTTAGACTTTTTAGTTTAATAACATATAATCTCTTATTAAATCATATATATTATATTACAGCTATTATGAAGAGAACTAGATTAATAAAATAAAACTATTAAGCTTATTTTAGTCTCTTCTAGTTATAAATATATTTTATAATATTATAATAATATATTATGTTATAAATATACTAAGAGTTAGCTTATTAGAAATAATATAAATATTACCTAATTTCTTTAAACTAAATATGTTAATAATAATTATACATAGCTTTTTTAAAAAACCGTTATTATTTATTAATAATAATATATATAGAGTAAAACAATAGATAGAAATACTTTTTAGAGGTTTTTAGATTACTAACTGAAATATCCCTCACTATATTATTAATATTAAAAATCTTTAGTTTATATTTACTATTTAAATAGTAATTTTTAATGCTTTATAAATAAATTCTTTTTTATTAATAATACACTACTTCTAAATAGATAGCTAAAATTAATAAATAAACTAAATAGTAAAATTATAATTTATTTTTAGATTTCTAAATTTCTTAATATTCTATAAATTAAAATACTAGTTTTTTTATCACATGAACTTAATAATATCTTCATTATAATAATTAGCTATTTACTAAATAAACTTATTTTAAGATTTAAACTTTAAGATATTTTTAGTACTATTATATATAAAAACGCTTTAGAAGTAAATTTCTCTATTTTATAGTAAATATACTAAAAAAAGGTTTTGTTTCTAATTAATACTACTAGTATTTTATATAAAACTATTATAATAAACGCTATATAGATATAAGTTTTAATAAAAATAATAAAATTTAAAGAAGACTTAAACAAAGATTTTATTTATTAGAGTAATAAAATAATAAATAGATATCCTAAAAAATAAGCTTATTTTAAATTAAATATATCATTAGTTTTTTAGTATATAAGAGTAATATATTTAGCTATTAGAGAATATATTTAGTTTTTCTAATTATTTAGCTATATAAACTAAATTAAAGAGAAAACCTATTTTATTAAGAAATATTATTACTAAAGCTTATAAAAATAGATAGTAATAAAAATAGGAACTAGACTATGTTATTAATAATAGGATTTTACATAGAAATTACTATTTATAAATAGAATATTTAGCTAATAAAAGGAATTCTCTATTAAAAATAATATTTAGTAAATTTATAAATTACTGCTCTTAAATATAGCTAAAATTATTTATAACTATGAAATAAATCTCCTTAATATAGTAGCTATCTAATTTTAATAAGGTTATTTATTTAATAAAAGATAATTAAGCTATTGTATTATTTTTAATAAATAATATTGTTATTTAGAAATAATAGATTATTATTAATTTTAATGTTAAAAAGCCATTACTTTATAACTACATAGTTAATACGCTTTTTTAC